TATATAACACTCTTCATTAACCCTTTAGTTACCAGTCGTACAAATTTGTACGATTTTGGCCCTGACAGCCATTTTGAATTATTAATATCAGACCTGGTTACTCAGGCAGGAGCTGAGTGTATTATGGGAAAGTTAAATGCTTGGCATTCATTTTGAAATCGTTTTCGAGTAGTTTTAGTGACTTCAACAGCGTTTTTGAAAGGGAAGGAGACATTTGTTGTGTACGTGGCTTTTAAAAATGGCGTCCGGAAGTATTCCTCTAGCTGAGGTGATAAGAAAATGTGTTAGAGGTGGTTCCGATGATGAAAACTCCGATGAAAGTGAAGGTGACATTTCAGAATGGAGTGAGGAAAGTGAAGAAGATTTAGGTTATGAGGAACGAGAGGCTTCTGGCAGCAGTGAGCACAATTCAGATGCGAGTGAAGGTTAGCATTTCAGTGTTTTTCTTTGAAATTCAATGATTTCAAGACGTTTTTACTTGTTCTTAGCGGATATGATTTGTTCATTGCTTTCTTTATATTTTTTGAAACTATATTCTTTATCTTTCGTTTGTTTACAGTGGAAAATGACCCTGCAAGATCCAGAAGTCCTCTACAATCCAGAAGAGGTCGTGGAAGAGGAGCTGTTCGCCGCGGGGATGGAAGAAACAGAAGAGGCATAGCTCCAGTAAACCGTGCAAGGGGCAGAGATGTAAATCCACCCTTCAACTGGAACTCCACCTATCAAGCTCAAGCACCTCCTCCTTTCAATGAGCCTTATCCTGGACCTATGAGTAGGTTTCAAAATAATGCGCAGGAAAAAGTTTATTTTGAACATTTGTTTGATGATGAAATGTGGGAGATGATAGTTTCTGAAACCAATCGCTATCATGAACAGCAGAAGGCTTCAGACCCAGATCACCACAAAACACAATGGCAGCCAGTGACAAAAGGTGAAGGGCAAGCTTTTGTTGGTATTCTTATTCTTATGGGTATCATAAGACTACCACGCTTCTTGATGTACTGGGAGTCAGACCAACTGACTCACCAGGAGAGCATTGCAAACATTATGCCAAGAACACGTTTTTTTCAAATTTGGCGCTATTTCCACTTGGCGGATAACTCTAAAGCAGCAGCCCCAGGTATGGAAGGATATGATAAAGTCTACCGAGTCCGGAAGTTCCTCTCAGTAGTTAGTAGAAATGTCGAAAGGGAGTACAGGCTGTCAAGAGATATCTCTATAGATGAGACTATGGTCCCCCACAAAGGACGTCTTAGTTTCAAACAATATATAAAAAACAAACCCACCAGGTGGGGGATAAAATTGTGGGTTCTTTGCGAGGCCGAGACAGGCTATGTGTACAGGTTTCAAGTTTACTTGGGTAAACAAGAAGGAAACCCTGAAACAAGTCTTGCAAGAAGAGTAGTACGTGATCTTACTATTACAGAGCATGACAGGAATCACCATCTATATATGGACAACTTTTATTGTGATCCTTATTTGTTCAAGGAACTGTTAGGTAAAAATATTTTTGCCTGTCGTACAGTGCGACCAAACCGCAAAGGATTTCCTAACGTGACTGTCATCACCAAGGCAAGGCAAAGAAACATGAGCCGAGGTGAATATTTATGGCGCTGTGATGGCCATCTTGTTGCCATGGGTTGGCTGGACAAGCGGCCAGTGTATTTGTTGTCTACAGTTCATCCACCATCCACAGATGTGCCAACAACTATCCCTCGTAGAGAGGGTAGAGGCCAAAGACAACCCCTTCCATGCCCCCCAGCCCAGGTGGATTATCAAAAATTCATGGGTGGAGTCGACCTTGCAGATCAGATGCTGAAGTCATTCTCTGTTATCAGGAAATCACACAAGGCATGGAAAAAGCTTTTTGGATATGGTCTTGAGGTCTGTCTATTGAACTCCTTTATTATTATGAGAAAAGCAAATCCTGCTTCCAAGCAACAATTTCTGAGGTTCAGGATAAACATTGCTCGACAGCTGATTGCAGGGCAATCATTTCGTTCTAGAATTGGCCGGCGCATTTCTCAACAACTCTCAGAGGTTGACACATTACGTCTCAATGGGAAATATCACCCTCTGGAGTTTACTGATAGCAGAAGAGACTGTGTTGTTTGTGCTAAAGTTGTTAAAGTGCAGGGGCTTCATAGGAATGAGCGATCGAAGTCTGCAGTGCAGTGTGAAGTTTGTAAAGTTCCACTTTGTGTCAACAAGCAGAAGTCTTGTTGGAATATGTGGCACACCAGAGTGGAATACTGACTAAATGCTTAAGATCAGAACACAATCATGAATTCTCATTTTAT